TGCTTATAGTTACTATAGGTAACTTTGAAAATATATGTTTTACTGTACTCATAAACATGTGAAGTGGACATGCTGCAACTAGTGCTAAAATGAATTGTAGTACAGTAACAGATAAAGTCAAAGGCTACAGAAATGTGACTTGTTTCCTTTCCCTCCAAAAGATACCTTGATGCTTACCTACACACATTCCTGAAGTCATCCGAGCAACACTTTATGGTGGGTTTGCCCGTGACCTACTACGTGTTTACGGACATGCCAGAGAAGGTGCCTAACATCAAGTTGTCTCCTCTGAGAAGCATGAAGGTGATCAAAGTGGAGAAGAACTCCAGGTGGCAGGACGTCTCTATGATGCGAATGAAGAGCATATCAGATGTGATAGAGTCTGATATTCGCCACCACTGCACGCACGTCTTCTGCTTTGATGTGGATCAGGTATTTACCGGGAGATTTGGATCAGAGGCTCTTGGGGATTCAGTGGCTCTGCTCCACGCCCACTACTACCATCTTCCAAAGCATTTTTACACTTACGACCGCAACCCAAACTGCAAGGCGTATATGGAAACTGGGGATTTTTACTACCACGCTGCCATCTTCGGGGGTTCGTGGAAGAATGTGAAAGCGTTGACCGAGGCCTGCTATCAGGGCATCATGGAGGACAAACAGAACAATGTGGAGGCTCTGTGGCACGATGAGAGCCATCTGAACAAGTACATGCTGCTCCACAAACCCAGCAAGGTTCTCTCTCCAGAGTACTGCTGGGATACCAGCATCGGTTTCAGGAGCGACATACAAGTCACCCGATTACTGTGGGCACCAAAATATTATGACACACTTCGCAAACCTTAAAAACTTGACAAATGCTAACAAATGTAATGTCTCAGGTTCTTGTGCTCCCTGGCTCATTTTGTTCTCTCAGGAATTAATTTGCAGATCTGCAAGTATTTTCATAATGGAGGGACAACTTATATAAATACACGCTTGTCTTTTATCAAATATTTTTGTTGCATTTTTTTTCGATGTATATATAAGTCAACTTTTCACATTTTTGATCAAACTGGCTGCACTTATTGATCCAGCTTGATGTCACTTTGCCAAATGCCACTGTATCTCTGTTTTTAACTGATACTTGTTGACACTCAAATTTTGTCAAATTTTTTATAAATCTCAATAGCTTTTCTTCCCCCTTCAATGTGTGATTTGTGTGTCAGTCTTTCCTCTTCTGTAAAGCGATGTGCTGCTCTTCGTTAACTGTATTCACAGTGTTCATGTACAATGTTTATTAATGATCTCTTCAACAATTTAAGATACACATATAATCACCATAATGTCAGCGAGTCAGATTAATATGTTGTCTACAAAGCATCCAATTTGAATGATTTGACAAAGTATTGAAATGGGGGGTCGTAGACATACATGCTAACAACAGAGACACTTTATGTTAGGGATGTCTTGCCTTTAGTTCATTCAGAATGGAACAATAGAAACATATTTATCCCGTGACTGCAGTGGCTCCCTGCCATTTCTCAAAGATGTGTTGGAGGAATGGACATTTAATATCATTTTATCAGTTTCTGAAGAAAGCTTAAAGGGAGAACCCAGTATGCTGTACTCTGCTAAGCTTTAGTAGAAGAAAAGGATTTGAATAGAATTTGATGTAGTTGCATTGACAAATCATTAGAGCTCGATCAATATTGAAAGTACATTTTTTTGTTTATTTTGCCAGTTTTGTCATGAATGTCGTATTGTTGTTCTTTCAGTCTGATATTCATTATGAAATAGCACTTCAGTTTAACCCAGATGAGCTTTGAATGAGCTGGTGTGAGTGACTCCTGATGCCTGAACTCTTTCTATACATTTGTACTATTGGAGTAAGATGCTCCTTAGGGTGGTCCTTAGTGCAATGTACATTTTCAAATTCATTTATTTTAAGCTCCAACCACCGGAATTCGTTATGATAGTCAAGAAAACTCTCCTGGTGAATTTTATTCAAATTCCAACAGCATTTACCCCTCCCTCATCAACCTTGACGTTTAGCCTCAGTAGGGTGGTCCTTAAAATGGAAAGTCGGAAAGTCTAAGGTCCAACCCCCAGAATTCATTCTATTCGTCAAGAAAACTCTCCTGGTGAATTTGTTTTCTCAATCTGACAACATGTACCCCTCCCTCATCGGGCTGGGCTGCCACACCAGCAGCCACGTTGCTACAACTGAGGCTAAACTTCAAGGTTGATGAGGGAGAGGTACATTTTACGAATACAGTTCTTGTATATGTCGAGATACTTAAAAACAAGATGCATTTGAAAGAAGAAATTGAATTTCCTCGGTCACACCAACAGAACTAAATGATTCACATTTCTATAAAACAAAGTAAAAACACACAGAAAGATCTGACAGGAAAAGTAAAGTTGTTTTGATGCTGAGCTCTAACCAACATATCGGTATCTTGGCCTTGTCATCTTGATCGAGGCAAAAAAGAAACAGGATTTATTCTCAGTATTTTTCAAAAATTGTGAGTTAAATTAAATGAACTTCTAATGTTTACACAATTTTTTATTATTGCACTTCATTTATTTAATGTTGAGAAAAATCTTGTACAAGTGTTCATACACTGTTTATTACTATGTATTTCATGAAAGTTCAGCAAAGAAACTGAACGAAAACTTCACACATATACCTGATTAAAAACAGTTTAACAATAAATGTAACTTTTATAGTACTGACTTTTCACATGATGAATAGCAGATGAAAAGCAGCAAAAATAATTACTGATACACTGTTATATCTGAAAATGGTATTTCCCTTTCACATGGTGAAAAGCTGATGACCACTAAAGGTGCTATAATGAGTGTAACTGTCATATATCCTTGAGTTTTCACACAAACGCAAAAACACAACATCTCTGACCTCTAGAAACAGCGTTGCACCATTTGCAGATGACCCAAAAAGAGACGTCTGATGTTGATGTGCACGACAAACTCTCTCTCCGTTCTTGAACAGCAGCACATGAAGGATGTCCGTCAGCACCAATGTAGAGCTCAAAGTGGTAGGCTCCTCTCACTTGTGCAATGAAAGAACCTGTGGGACATTTTTTGTCAGTGCAGGTAACTTGAGATGTGTTTGTTGATCATGTATTTGAATTGTGTATAGCCAAAAACGTTAGATTTCTGTGACTTAGAGTGTGGAGATTTGAGTACCTGTGTTTGGGTTGTAGGCATTCCCAATGTTTGAGAAGACGTATCTGAAGACCAGATTAGTTTCAGTATTAAATGGTCCGATAGTTCCCGAGCCTGAAGCCAACAGAGATGCTGAGAAAGTCACCTGTTTGACTGAGAGAGAGAGACAGAGACAGAAAGAGAGAGAAAGAGAGAGAGAGACATTTTATTTCCCTACTGTGAATTCATGTTTTTAAAATACGTACAGATATTACAAATTCAACCCATTATTTAGATATTTTACCTTCTCCGTCTCTCTTCAGAGCCTCCACCTGGTTTTCTGTGACATTTGACCTGGCTTTCACAGTGATCAGCTCTGCTGCTTGGACTGTGAAAAAAGTGGCATCATTACATATTTGTGTGTCTGAAAGAAATAATGTTTGATGGTTTCAAGTATTTCACCATCGCTCGCATTATCAAGGTTAGCATTACCTATGGAACTTCTTTTTTTAAATGTATATATAATACATTTCTGTTGCATCTTATATATTTATTCTAACATATTCTGTCTGCTAAAACAGGGTTTTTTCCTGGTTTAAGATACAGTATCACAAATAATTGTTCACTCCAAATTGTTAGAGCCATGATCTTCTCCACAATACCTTGAAGTTGTTGCTTTAGCTTGTCCACCTCAATCTTCTGTAACTCCAGTTCTTTCAGCTTTGCAGTTTGACCTTGATTAAAAAACCAAATGCACGTATATTGTTATTTATTTAACCATAACATTTTTTTAACTCGTGCAATACTTTTTGTGTATTTCAGTTAATTGTTTAATTACTATTTTAGCCGTGTTAACAGCCTGACTCTCGATATGACATTTGCATTATTCAGTTGCTACAGACATTGTGATTTTACTGCCCCCAGAGAGACATTTTGAGTGACAAACTGGGTTTCATTGGGCATATTGGACACATCAAGTCGACATTGTAGTGAGTCCAATAGCTTGGTTTGTAAGTCAACTACAGATGCTCCCATCAGCCTCAGGTGTATGTTGCTGAGGTGCTGATTAGCATATGTTAGCAGCATGCTGTTGTTTTAAAATTAAAAAAGGTGAACAAGCACATAACAATAGTTGTTCAGACTGAAAGTTGTTAAATATGTTAATACATGTATTCTTACACATGCAACGTTAAGAAGAAGGCGACATAAGGTTCCTTGAAAACTTTAACTACACTCGTGGTCTCTACATTTATCAAACAGCGCTGTGCAATAGCTGCCCACTGCTCCGAGTACTAGGATGGGTTAAATGCAGAGGTCAAATTTCACTGTGTGCATATATGTGTGACAAATAAGGAGGGATTCATTCCTCTGATTATATTTTATTCAGAAGAAGAGTGTAAAGAGATAGAAGAGTATCATTAGCTGCAAGTAATACTGTAAAATAGTATGTACTTTACTTTCCCCCTATGAAAGTATGTACTCTTAATATTTTTATGTATTCATCAAATATAACATATCAACAAAGAAATTCAATAACGTGCTTTAACCACTAGGCGGTTAAAGCACTCAAGTTTACAGTGTTAACACAATAAAATATACTGCTGTTTCCAGTTTAGTTTCAACCCGATATCACGGCAAGAAGTGAACATGTGACGATTTACCATGCTGGGACACGTGAAGATGTCACGATTTCGTCCCTTCAAACGTGACAGTTACACGGTATTGTTAACCCATGTTAACCAGTGGAGAAATAACCGGAAATGCCAAGCAAATGCTACCCCGACGGTTGGTTGTTATTGTCAATATTAATATAATAATTATTTATTTATTAATAGTCACACTCGATTTCGCCGATTTTCTTGTTGCCCCAGCTGGTCGACACCTCTTTTAGCAGAAACAAAGGCTACATTAATGTATTAAATCGATGTTAATCCATGTGTGTGGATGCGGAATTAACGGACGTGACGTTGTGCGATTGAGTTGCCAGGCAACAGCTTCGGTTCATGTTAATTTACAAACTCTTCAACTACAACTGCAGTTATATTTAAAAACATGTTAGAAGGCCTCACAAAATACTTTAATGCAAATTAAAATGTAAATGTGAAGGAATGTGTGTATAACGAAATACATCGGTGATGGGATTTGGTGTTTATGTGATGTGAAATCTGAAAACGTTTTTTAAAAATAAAATAATACTTTATTCCGAGTGTGCTTGCCTCGTGTGGCTGAACTGTCTCTAAGATAGAGAACTGTAGCGGATACGACCCGTTTCGTCACCGTGTGGTTAGGGCCTAAGACTCTCTGACCACGTCTATAAATGGCAGTTATGGGCATACAGCTCCTTAAGCCCAGGCTATACAAGTCTTGTCGTGTATCCAGATTCCAGACGCGTGTGTGTGGATAGGGTTGAGATGTATTTAGGCATGAAATTAAAATGTGTTGCCAGTATACAGACTGAAATCAGATTTCTCTTTCTTGTGAGGAAACAGACCATGTATGTGTGTTGGCTGTGTATTGACAGTAAACGCAGCACTGCTTGTGGCCCATCTGCAGGAATCCAGACATCCATTATGACAGGTATGCTACTGCCCAAACTGCCTGCCAACTGTTTGAGTCGCATGCGTTCTCACTTTTTAATTAATGTGGTCCAATGCATCTCTCATGACATTTGGAGGACATGTTGTAATAAGGCCTCCTAGGCGCATGCAGTATGTGAGATTCATGCAAATGTTTCTATTTAATCGCAACATGCATACACATAATTTAAGTGTGTTGATTGCATTTGCAAAGGTAGTCATTATCAGCAAAATATTATTTTTTTCCCACGCCAATCAATTTTTTCTCTAATGATTTGAATTGTAAGTCACATTTAAACTTGTATAATTTTAGGATATAATTAGCTCCAAAGATAATTTGAAATTCAGTGAATTAATGCTTAATAAGATGTCCCGTGAAATATCAGAGTTGACCATGAACGGAGGCCTGAGTCTGAGTGAAGGCAAAGATATGCACAGAGACATCCCTGC